GCCTGGCCCCTGGCGAACCAGTCGGCAGCAGCCATCGCGGAGGCCTTTGTCCAGGGCTATGTCCTCGACAAAGGTGCTCCGGAACGGCTGCTTACTGACCAGGGTAGGAATTTTTCTGGTAAACTCCTACGTGAGGTGTGCGACCTCTTGGGTACGGAGAAGGTTCGGACCTCTCCGTATCACCCACAAACTGACGGGATGGTGGAACGGCTGCATCGGACCATCACGTCCATGCTGTCCCAGCAGGTGTCGGTATCCCAGACGGATTGGGACCTCCGCATAGCCGGTGTGTTGCAGGCCTACAGAATGGCTCCTCATGCGGCCACCGGATTTTCCCCTTTCTTTTTAATGTATGGGCGCGAAGTTAACCCCCCTGTGGCGACCCAGCTGAAGCTCTCGGCGCTCCCGGCGAAGTCTAACTTGTCCGAACACATTAAATTTAACATCGCTAAATTGTCTGAGGCGCGGGAAGCGGCCGTGCAAAATTCTGAACTCCGCCAGAAGGCGAACGAGAGGCTTCGGTTGGGGCGGGTGCAGGTGGTCAAATGGGAACCAGGGGACAGGGCGTGGTTGCACTGTCCTCAGGTGCCGCTGGCAACCTCGTCGAAATTGGTACGGCCGTGGCGGGGGCCAGTGGAGGTCGTGCAGGTTTTGCGGCCGCAATGTGTTCGCGTCAAATGGGGGAGGCGCCGGTGGTATGTGCACCCCTCAAGGTTAAAACCATTTGTCGCGCCGCCCCGTGGTTCACACACACACACGCATGGCCAAACGTGTGAGGGTGTCGCCGACTCCCCGTCGTCGCTGCACTCGCCTAACCTGACGCCAACTGTTCCGTCCCCAGGTGAAACAGGAGTGACGGGTCCACACCCACCAACCCCTCCCGGAGGGGTCGGGGGTCACTCGGCAGCGACGCCTGACTCTCTTGCACCCGGACCGTCAACAACCGTCACTGAGCGTGCCAGGACGGGCCCTTGTGACGGGCCCGCCGCGCGGACGCGCGCCAAAACGCGCAGACTATTGTGAGGTCGGCCGTTGGGGGGCCTTGCGGACAATGGGAGGGGTGGCGTCCGGAGTGTGTGTATATATGTTGGTTTTGGGGTATTTATTCGGGGGGGTGCGTCGGGTTATTTTTTTTCTCTCTCTCTCTCTCTCTCTTCCTGTTGTTGTTCTTGTTAAGGTTCTCTTGTTCTTGTTAAAATTACGCGAGGCACACACACGGGGTTTTTGTGAGGGATGCACCTTTATTCTGATTTTTTTTGCAGCCAGGGACGGCTGCGAGCTGTACAGGGGGGGGTGATGTAGAGGTGTAATTGCGCATGGCTACGAATGTTGAGGTGTGATTATGCATGGCCACGGATGGCCAACAAACACAAGGGGCGGGGTTACGGCCGTACACAAGGGTGGCGCTAGCACCGACGTCCGCATGTGTATCCCCCACGGGCCCCCCCTCGGGGGCGAGTCCTATAAAAGGTGATGAGCTCGAGGGCTCGAGGTCGGGACTCAGCTTTAACCAGAGAAGACGGAAGACCAGCTAGTGTAGGCCCCAGAGCTCCCCTGGCTCGCTGTCCTTATAAGGGCCGACCAGGGCAAGCCGGTGGCGTGGCCCCGAGAGCCCAGACGAAGCTGGTCTGGTGACTCAGGGAGCCGGGATCCCAGCTTAACCAAGCTGGGACAGATAGCCTCCCTAGTCCCGTAGTGGAGGAATTGGTATAGGTTAGAGGGGTTAGCTGTCGAGAATCCCTGTAGCCAAGTGACCTGTACAACTGTGTTGGTGTAATAAATAAGTGTGCCTCCGATCCTGTCGTCAAGCCTCCATATATACTTACTACACATGCATACCTACTCCGGTCTACTACCAGCGACAAAATAATTCCTTGAAAAATCAAGTCAGCCACGGGGGAGAAAGTCCAGGCATAAGTGGGTTATCGCGCCTTCAGGCGATGTAGAGACGGGCAAGAAACCAACTTGCTGTGAGGTCACTTGTGAAAAAGAGCCACAGACACTCAGTGGGCCCTGAGCTTGGTAATATAAAAGTGTAGTTGAGTTATATTCTTGGTTCTTTCGGTAAAGTCACGTCCATAGAAATGTTTAATTAAAAAGATAACAAATTGAAAATGATAAAAGCAAAAAACCCACAATGATGACCACGTGGAAACGTCGAGCATCCAAATAGTCTCCAAACGCGCGACGTTGATTCTATAAATGTGGAGAAAATTTCACGCGACCACGGAGAGAGACACCGCAAAACTCCAAACAGACAGTAGAAGCGTCAGGGTTGGGATAGAACCCACGACCTCCTGCGTATCAGGCGAGGTAGTTAACATCTCCTAGCAAACCATGATGATGAGAGAGACACGCAGCCTCACGGCTGTCAATGTACTCAACAGGCTGCAGAGAGAGCACTGCTGTTGTGCACAGGAGCACTTCTCTGGCTCCGAAGTCTAAAGTCGCCTGCCTTTCTCCGGGCCGCATTGGCCAGCGACGTGAAGCGGGGGTCAAGCAAATCTCCCCTGGATTTGAAGCTTTCGTGACTGCAAGGATTCATACTCTTGGTTCTTTCGGTAAAGTCACGTAGGTAAAAAATGAAATTTAAATTAATTAGAATCCCTGACTCACTTGATGCAGCAAATCTGGCTGTGACGGTCCCACCTGATGACGGAGACTTGTGTTGCGTCCGAAACGTCGTGATTTTATTATTTATTAATTTTAATTTCATTTTTTACCTACATGGTGACTTTACCGAAAGAACTAAAAGTACAAATCTCCCCTCTCGAGGTCAGCCTCATCCAGCAGCGGGTCGGCGAAAGGCTTCGATGAAAACCCCTACGCGTCAATTAACTCGCGTCTATTCATAGTGGCGAGGTGGGGGGGGAAGATCCCCGTGTAGCCTTGACAGACTGTAGGGGCAAGTGCTGTTAGCGAGTAGCAGCAGCAGCTATGAAGGCCGTCACTGTAGCTTACAAAGACAAAGATGCCCCGTGTAGCCTTGACAGACTGTAGGGGCAAGTGCTGTTAGCGAGTAGCAGCAGCAGCAGCAGCTATGAAGGCCGCCTTTGTCTCCCCAGTAACCAGCCCGTGCTGTAAAGATACACACGGATATCCACATTCACCATACATCACTCACTCGCATTCATTATATTAACAAAACTAAAATTGTATTTTTTTACCTACGTGACTTTGCCGCATTGATGAGCAATTAGATTTGTTCGCTTGCAAAAATTAATCGTTAAAGAATTAATAAAAATCAATAATTAGTTCTTTAACGATCAATGTTGGGAGCTTGGTGAGAAGGTTGTTTAGGCCTCAGCCTCGGCGCTCGCCTGGATCTCAGGCCGGGCTCGGTGGGCCGGAGTCGCTAGGCGAGGCCGTGGTCCCCCGACGTGAGGCGAGGCCTGGTGACTACCCATCATGTCTCGCCCTCTCACGTTCACATTGGTGCACTTGCAACGATTTGTTTATGTTACTCGTGGGCTATAAGCTTCATTGTGACGTTGCCGTGCTTTAAACATTGTTATTTACGTTTTAATAGCGGTTCACAGACGCGAATCGTTGTACCGTACACACACGGACCACGCAGCTCCTCGCGCAGGCTGTAGTAGCAGCAGCAGCAGCTATGAAGGCGAAGGCAAAGACAAAGATGCCCCGTGTAGCCTGTAGTAGCATGCTGCAGGGGCAAGTGCTGCTAGCAGAGGGGTGGGTGGCCAGCACCACGCCGGCCGCCTTTGTCTCTCTTCAAATGGAAATGTTCATACAGTTTTCGATTTAAAGCTTTCTTGACTGCAGGGATTCATCTTCTTGGTTCTTTCGGTAAAGTCACGTAGAAGGGAAATAATAAAATGATAAAAATAAAACAATACAATAATATTATAATAAAATAACAAAATGTTATAATATATTTAAATGATATAATACTATAATATAATAATATAATATTATTTTATTTCGATTTAAAGCTTTCGTGACTGCAGGGATTCATCTTCTTGGTTCTTTCGGTAAAGTCACGTAGAAGGGAATAATAAAATAATAAAATAAAACATAATAAAATAATTCTCACGACGTTTCGGCCACAACGCAAGCAGCCGTTCTCTGGTGAAGAACAGGTCTGTCGGGGAGACAGCGTCTGAATGTCTCCCCGACAGACCTGGTCTTCACCTGAGGACGGCTGTCAGGGAGACAGTGTCTGAATGAAGAGGACACACTGAAGAATTTGAGTCAGTCTTTTATGTATTTTGCATTTATAACGTGAATGATAATTTCCCCCTCCACCGAACGCACGTGTGTTGCTAGGGGCAACCCCCGGTCAGCTGTCTGCGCATGTGCAGATGCATATTAAAATAATAATAATAGCACTAAATTGTTAACTATTTAAAGTTGACGTATGCGAAAATAGAACAGCGCTGGCTCACCGCGGGGCTTATCGCCTGGTACCCGGGTACTTTGAACGTAAACCCTACGGTTCGCGAGCAAAATCTTTCGCAAGTTTCGTCCACGCACAGACACAGACAAACACAGACACACAAAAAATGGCTTTTATAGGCAAGATTGTATAGACGTGTAGTGTAAAGTAGTGTAGTGTAAAGTGGATATAGTGTAACGTGGCTCAGTGAAGGATATGATGGATGCCACAGGGTCACCGAACCCCATTGTGAATCCTCAGTGTGCCGAGTGAATGTTTCGTAGATTTGGCGTTAACAAGAACGGAGTAAAAAGAATAACACTTAGTTACTAAGCACATTCAAGTGATGAGGGTCAAAAAACAGTGCTTCTGCATTGTGTAAATTGACACAAGTGTATAGTAAGGTAGTGAATTGTGTAGTGTATCAAAGTGTAGTGTTTGTAGTAGTGTAATGTATAGTGTAAAGCGGCTCGTAATGATGGGCATGCTGGATGCTGTGGTGCCCTAAACAACTTTGTGGGGATCTCCAAACCCCCACAGCACCTGGCTGAAACCAGATGGAGTCCAATTTCAGCCGAGGCCACCCCCAGACCGTGGCTGGAGGCTACTTGCAGAAATATTGATCGACGGTCGATGGGCACAGCTTGCACCTGACGTTCCAGCGGAGTTGTTCCTTGCATCCGCACTGCTTCTCCACCGTGACTGGGAAGGGAACAGCAGCAGAGGCGACGGTGCGAAACAGACGCGTGAACCATCGTCGTTTTGCTCACAATGATTTTTCATCGCAATTTTGCGATCATCATTGACGTCGCGAGGTGAAAAATCTCCCTTCGAGCGACCCAAGGTTAACGGAAAGCAGTTCTCAAGAAATGTTTTCTATTTAATTGTGGAGTTTACAGTACTGTATAGTGCAGTGTATAGGAGTGAAGAATAGTGTATAGTAGTATAGGGACAGTGCGGAAAGAGAGAGACGGTGCGTGGGTGGAGAAGGGGGGTGAGGGGCTCACCTTGCGAGATGTCGTATCCTCTGTCACAGCACGTGATGACGGAGCATCCCTCGGTGCCCTCGGAGGTGACGTTGCACCGCCGCCCCACCGCGCCGGGGATGCCGCTGGCGTCGTCGCGCTCGCAGTAGTTCGGGCTGGCGCTCACGTGCACCAGCTCGCTCGCCGTGGGCGCCGTCAACCACTCGTTCACCGGCTCCAGACGCCAGCGGGACCAGCGGGTGGCACCGCCGGTAACGGCACCGGCTGCACCGCCGCGACGACCGCTCCTCTTGTGGCTCACCAACCGCATGGCGGAACTTGTGTCGTACTTTTCCTGCAGCCACCATTGTCATCATCATCATCATCAGGGGATGAGGAGGATCCGCCATGTGTGTTTTTGTTGAAGTGGTGGTGGTTGTTGTGTGAATGCGGGGAACCTGCTTAGCTGTTAGGGACCCCTCCCCCTGTTTGTAGCCCTCCTGTCAATTAATCCTTAATCCCACCCACACCTCCTCCGGGTGCAGTCTCATCACCAACAGCCGTGAGCTCACCTTCAGAAAGTTTCCAACTTTGCGAAAGTCGGCGAGATGCGGCGAGCAGACCTGGAGCACGCAGATGCCAAATTCAAAGTGGCACTTGCAGTCAACGGATGCCAGATTGTACACCGCCTGTAGCACCACCACCAACAACGTCATCGTCACTACCACAATCATCACTACCAACCGCCATTTCCCAATAATTGGCAGTGACGTCACCGACGGCGCTTGTGCCAAGCTGTGTGAACATTAAGCCCACGTGAAGTGTCGAATGTCCGCTGGCAGGAGGTCATGGGACAGACCCAGGTGCCACGGGTCGACTGACTGAGATGACTGGCCAATGCACCACCTGTGTGTGGCCCCTGCTGCTGTGCCAACTTGCTGCACATTAGCCGCCCAGCGCTCTGCTCGTTGTTGGGAGCACCGCTTCTCTGCCCTCTTTTGCCGAGGGGTGACTGCGTCCAACTCCTCCACAGAGGCCGATCTTAACACCGCTGGTACCAGTCATTAGCAAGTCCACTCAGCTCCACGTCCTCCTGTACCACATCACTGCATCCCTTCTCCAGCCTGTGCCACACCCTTTAAGCACCCTCTATCTGGCCGAACTAAAGTGGCTTTGGCATGTGGTGGCTGGGCATGCGGGCGACATGATCCAGCCAAAGCAGCCTTGCCTGCCGGAGGAGCTCAGCAAATGGACTTTGTCCAGATCTTTCAAGGATTTGTGAGCTCTTCACACAATCCAGCCTGGTTAAACCCAGGATGGATTGTAGGCATGCCACCCTGAATGTTTCTAAGTGGCAAAAATGTTTCATGGTCATGCCCTCTACGCTTGCAAAACGTGGACACCCCGGTCCACGTTTTGCAAGCGTAGAGGGCATGACCATGGCCAAGAAGACCTGAAGCTTTGTGTGGAGCAACAGACCAGGTAGCTTCCACACAGCATGGCGCAGTCAATGCAAATATAATTCCTCTCAATTGAGACCTCTGCTGTCAGAGAGCTGGTCATAGGCACACTTTCCAGGTATGGGAAACTCTCGACAACTGCCCCATCACCAATTGGGAGTTGTGGAGTGTCCAATGGCACAACATTCCCAGGCAGGTGCTTAGTTTTGGTGGGGCTGTTGGCAAGGCCCCACCTCTTAGTGGCAAGCTCCAGGTTCAGCAGCAGAGCCTCCAACTCCTCCTCTGAGTGAGCAGCAATTACCAGATCGGCAAACATAACGTGGTTGAGCAATAGGGAGCCATCCCTTGACCGCACCCGGGCATCAATCAGCCTCCCATTGTATCTGTACCAGATGGAGATTCTGCCGGACAGTCATGGAAGGCTTCACGAACTATGTGGTCGAAAATGTTTTGAACTAATGTGGGAGCCAAAGAACATCGCTGTCGCACCCCAAGGTGAAGAGGGAGTGGTTCCAACTCCCAGCCACGCAGCTTTATCCGGGCCTGCCCACCATCATGAAGGTCTTGAATAATTGTGAGCAGTCGGACTCTGAAAGCACGAAGAACAACCCACAGCCCAGGCCTATTGATGATAACATAGTGACTTGGCCAGGTCAAAAACGCAGAGATGTAAGTCTTGTTGGAATTCCCTACACCTCTGCTGTAGCAGACGGACAGAAAACATGGCGTCTGTGCAGTCAAAAAAGCAGAGATGTAGGTCTTGTTGGAATTCCCTACACCTCTGCTGTAGCAGACAGACAGAAAACATGGCGTCTGTGCAGTCAAAAAAGCAGAGATGTAGGTCTTGTTGGAATTCCCTACACCTCTGCTGTAGCAGACGGACAGAAAACATGGCGTCTGTGCAGTCAATAAAGCAGAGATGTAGGTCTTGTTGGAATTCCCTACACCTCTGCTGTAGCAGACAAACAGAAAACATGGCGTCTGTGCAGTCAAAAAAGCAGAGATGTAGGTCTTGTTGGAATTCCCTACACCTCTGCTGTAGCAGACGGACAGAAAACATGGCGTCTGTACAGGGCCACCCCGGCCTAAAACCACGTTAGGTCTCCGTGCCAATAATCGTCCACCCATTCACCCTGTTAATATTCATTTTTGGAAAAGGCATACAAGAGTGATTCTGCCTATTTTTTGTAAAAAAAATGTATCGGCATGTAGCGCTGGGGCATAAACACGCTGTGAATCTCACACCCCCCCCACCCCGCTGCCTCACCCACATAAAAGATAGCTGGAGGTTAATGACTGCAGAAAGTTGTAAAACTAGAAAAACTACACTTAGGCGCAATTGAGAGCATCTCTGTCCACAGGCCATGAGATGGCTGAAGGGTAGAGGAGCCAGGCCTTGATGTGACTTAGGAAATTACTTCAGTAAAGTAGAACAGACACACACGTACACCGGACAAGCGATCACAATCAAAGGGACAGTTGTTCCATCGTGAGAGGAAACCGACCAATCACAGGCCGAGGAGCAAAATCAAAGGAGTTCCGCTCCGTTGTAAGAAGACGGGTCTGAGGTGGGAGATTTTCGGATATAACGAAGAAGCCGAACCACGCAAATCAGTCTTGCGACGGCAAGCTCCAGGGTATGGTCCTCGAAATAGATAGATCGTTTATTGTCATTGTCACCAGTACAACGAAATTTAAAATGCTCACCAGTCAGGGCATCATTCATAAATTTAAATTAAATAAAACAAGAAAATAAAAATTAAATTAAATGAAAGATAATCAATTTATACTATATATAAAAACAGCCCAAGTATACCCACATACCCACATAAGGTTACATTTTGTCATTGCACATCTCTATTTCACAATCAATTGTAAACACTATTACTTAATAATTAATTAGCATTATTGAGTGTGGTGATCGCTGTAGGATAAAAGCTCTGTTTGAATCTGTTTGTCCTTGTTTTGACTGATCTGAATCGTCTGCCTGATGGCAACAGCTCAAACAGTGAGTGTCCAGGGTGAGAAGAGTCCTTTATAATGTTCTGTGCTTTTTTGATGCAACGTGAACTGTGTAGTTCTTCCAGTGTGGGGAGATGGCAGCCGGCGATCTTTTGGGCTGTGTTGATGACCCTCTGGAGCGCTTTCCTCTGAGCCACTGTACAGCTGGTGTACCATACACAGATGCAGTATGTAAGAATGCTCTCGATGGAGGCTCGGTAGAAGGACACCAGCAGTTTCTGTGTGATGTTATTATTCCTGAGAATTCTCAGGAAGTAAAGTCTCTGCTGGGCCTTTTTCAGAAGCTCAGTGCTGTTGGCGCTCCAGGTCAGGCCCTCCCCAATGTGGACTCCCAGGAAGCAGAAGTCTGCCACCCTCTCCACACAGTCCCCGCTGATGATTAGTGGTGGTGGAGTGTCCGTTTTCTTTCTCCTGTAGTCTATTATGAGCTCCTTGGTCTTTGCGGTGTTAAGGAGCAGGTTGTTGCCCCTGCAGTATGCTGTCAGCCTCTCCACCTCGTCCCTGTAGGCAGACTCATCCCCCCCAGAGATGAGCCCCACCACTGTTGTGTCATCAGCAAACTTCACAATGGTGTTGCTATGGTGGACGGCGGCACAGTCATGTGTGTAGAGGGAGTAGAGCAGGGGGCTCAGTACACAGCCCTGGGGGGAGCCGGTACTGAGGCTCAGGGCTGTGGATGTATGACGGCCCACTCTGACCCTCTGTCTGCGGCCCGAGAGGAAACTATATATCCACATGCAGGTGGAATGTGGAATCCCCAGGTCGCCCAGTTTTTCCACCAGTTTGTGTGGGAGGATGGTGTTGAACGCAGAACTGTAATCCACGAAGAGCATCCGCACATAGCTCCCCTGCTGCTCCAGGTGTGACAGTGCAGCATGTAGTGCTGTGGCCACGGCGTCCTCCGTGGATCGGTTCGCTCTGTAGGCAAACTGGTGGGGGTCAAGGTTTCGGGGCAAGCTTCCTATGATGTGACTCCGGACCAGTTTTTCAAAGCACTTCTTCACCACTGGCGTGAGTGCTACCGGCCGGTAGTCGTTGTAGCTGGAAATGTGGGTTTTTTTGGGCAGCGGGACTATGGTGGAGGACTTTAGGCAGGTTGGTACAGTGGACTGTTCCAGAGACAGGTTGAAAATCCTTGTGAAGACTCCAGCCAGCTCGTCGGCACAGTCCCTCAGCACACGTCCCGGGACGCCATCAGGTCCCGCAGCCTTCCTCGGGTTGACGGCCCGCAGCGTGCGCCTCACCTCATGCTCCTCCACTGTGAGGTTTAAGCTGCTGTGGACCGTGAGGTTTGGTGATGCTGTCCCTTGTGGTGTCACCTCAAAGCGGGCAAAGACGAGGTTCAACTCCTCTGCCAGAGCGTTGTCACCATCAGCAGCTCCGCGGTTGGCCCTGTAGTTGGTGAGGTGCTGGACTCCCTGCCACACCTGCCTGCTGTCGTGACTGTCCAGGCGTTCCTCAATCCTCCTCCTGTAGTCTGCTTTGGCCTTGCGGATGCCTCTCTTCAGGTTAGCTCGGGCTGTACTGTAGAGAGCTTTGTCTCCGGAGTTGAAGGCGATATTCCTCTCCTTCAGCAGTTGCTGGACCTCTCGGGTCATCCAGGGCTTCTGGTTGGGGTAAACCCGAACGCGTTTGTCCACAGTGACAGTGTCTATGCAGTTTTTAATGTAGCACAATACACTGTATGTGAACACCTCCAGGTCCTGATGTTCGAAGACCCCCCAGTCGGTCCTATCAAAGCAGTCCTGCAGCTGCTGGGTGGCACCCTCAGGCCAGATGGCGACAGTTTTTGTGATGGTAGGAGCCGTTTTCTTGATGGGGGCGTATGCAGGGATCAAAAGCAGGGACAAATGGTCAGACTGGCCCACGTGCGGTAGTGGTCTAGCCCTGTAGCCTAGTTTGATGTTGGTATAGACCTTGTCCAGAATCTTAGTTCCCCTAGTAGCACACTTAACATGCTGGTGGAATTTAGGGAGTGCTGCTTTTAAGTCTGCATGGTTGAAATCCCCTGCTATAATCAGCACAGCGTCAGGATACTTGCTCTGCTGAATGCTAATGCTGCCATGTAGAAGTCCAATAGCTGAGTTAGCATTAGCATCCGGTGGGATGTAAACAGCAGTTATCATGACCACAGTAAACTCTCTTGGGAGGTAAATCGGCCTGCATTTAACAGTCACATACTCCAGATCTGGGGAGCAGTGGCTGTCTACAGTCACAGTGTTAGTACACCAGCTCTTATTCACGTACACACAGAGCCCCCCTCCTCTGCTCTTACCGGAGTCTACTGTTCTGTCCTGGCGCTGTGCTGTGTAGCCTGCAAGCTCAATAGCAGAGTCCGGGATGGATGAATGAAGCCAGGTTTCTGTGAAAAGCAGAATGCAGCTGTCCTTCACTACGTTGCTCGCTGTAGTCTGTAGCCTCAATTCATCCATTTTGTTCGCGATGGATCTGGCGTTCGTGAGAAATAGGCTGGGTAGCGGTGGTTTGAGTGGCTGCCTCCGTAGCCTGGCTAGCGCACCGGCCCTGCAGCCTCGCCTCCGTCTTCTCTCTCCACGCCGCCTTCGCCTCCTCCCCACCGGGATGATAATCCACGGAGAGCCGGGCCTCCTCGCTAACTCCACTGGAATCTTGTGAAGACGGAGAAACTCGCTTGTAACACTCCGATCGTAACATAGTCCGATCTTAAGGAGATCGTGCCGGCTAAAGGTGTTACTCGCCCGACAAAATGAACACAAAACAAGACATAACGCGAACATAAACAACCATACAAGGCACCGACCGGGTAGACACTGAGCTGCTGCAACTGTGTGCGCCGCCATCACTACCCGATGAAGCTGTCACTACCCGTGGGTGTCGAGTCTTGCAGAGAGGGTCGATGTGTTGCTAAGTGGCGAGTTTGGCGCTGAACGACAGTATGGCTGCAAGTTTTATTCTGCACTTGTCGTGATGTTTTGAGTCGCTCGCAGAATCAAGGACTGCGATAACTTGTATCGTACTAATCCATAAGAGTTGTGAGAAGCTAAGGAGGTGCGCGAATATATTTTGAGTTTGAGAAGCGAGTGAGGAGCTGCGACGAGCAGCTGACAGCAGCAGGAGCCCTCCCTACCCGTACCCTACCCAAAATGAGTGACAAACGGTGACTCACCGGTGACTCACGGCCTACCCGTACCCTACCCGTACCCGGCCGGGTACGGGTAGCCGGGTATCGGGTACGGGTATCGGGTACCCATTTGCGACCCTGGTGTGGCCGGGTACGGGTACGGGTAGACCGTGAGTCACTGGTGAGTCACCGTTTGTCACTCATTTCCCAACCCGGTTGCGACCTCTGACGTAGATGGAGCTGGACCCATCATCCCTGCCAGCACGGACAGCGCCAGCAGCGTGCGCGGCGTGCAGATTCGGCAAACACCCCGGCGGTGGAGAGAGACTGACGGCGCAGGCAAGAGCGCCGCGTGTTTCACGCACACACAAACCCAGCGCCTTGCTTGGGCCCCGACGTGTTTTCAGTAGGAGGAACGCTGCACCGGAAACCACTGGGTATTGTCAAAAGCACAGTAGCAGGAATAGGTGGACAACGCAAGCCGTGCTGCCCGCTATAATTATTGTACCTTGCGGTGACTGCCCTCCCACACACACAACACGCATATCAGTATGGCTAAGATTGTTACGAAAAGTTTGTGTGTTTTGAAAAGGGTTGCCATCAAGGTGTTTTTTTTTAACTATTAGCCTATCGGGATAAGCATTGTTCTGTCCCTTGAGTTAAATATGGTCTAATAGGGGTTTTCCCCTTTTTTCTGGCAACAAAATTGACACCTTTTGCAAGGAATCATGCTTACATTAACCACAATACTTGCAGTCAAATGCAAACAAAAAACAATACTCTGATAATTTATGCATTGTCTTTGAAACTGATTGGTCCACACCAGAGACAGCTTTCTTTAGAGCCTAGTCTCATACGGTGTTCGACCAGATGACGCCAAAAGGCGCACAGTTCAAGACAACGCACCATCAGAGTAATGAGAGCTCGGGGTGAGCAGCTACATCATGGGACCTCCTTTGCCAGTACCAAATATACTAATCGGGTTTTTCCCCTTTTTTCTGGCAACAAAACTGACACCTTTTGCAAGGAATCATGCTTACATTGACCACAATACTTGCAGTCAAATGCAAACAAAAAACACAACTCTGACTGCAAGTATTGTGATGTAAGCATGATTCCTTGCAAAAGGTGTCAGTTTTGTTGCCAGAAAAAAGGGGAAAAACCCTATTAGTATATTTTGGTACTGGCAAAGGAGGTCCCATGATTAAATATGGTCGTTTAGAAGTATTTTAGTCACATGTATTCTTTCATCGCGTAACCCAATTGTTCTATTGCTCAGTTTTCACAGTAACTCTAGAACAGCGGTCGGGAACCTATGGCTCGCGAGCCATATATGGCTCTTCCAGTGACGGCATATGGCTCCCAGACAATTTTGAGTTGGAAAAAATAATAATAAAAAAAATCAGTTTGGAACTGATTTTAAAATACTTGTGATATTGTTTAATAATACTGTGTCATTTTAAAGTAAACAGAAATTAGTTTTGAAGATAAATTTCACGGGTCACGCCTGCATGAAGCTCAACCTCACCACGTATGAACCAGACTACAAGGCCATCAGCAAAACCATGCAGCACCAGAAGTCGCATTAAAAGTAAGACATATTTAATTTATTATACGTTAAAAATACTATATGGCTCTCAATGAAATATATTTAGAAATATTTGGCTTTTATGGCTCTCCCAGTCAAAAAGGTTCCCGACCCCTGCTCTAGAGGGTTAATTGTCTGGATCAATGATTAGGATATCTACATGAGTACTGCGGTGACAATTCCAATCATAAGTGTGTTCGCATTCGTGTTTTTTGTTATTAAAGTTGCCTAACAGAAGTGTGCGAATGGTTCATTCCTAAAGTCATGCAAAATCATCTGAATCATAAGAACCGTATCCTGCGGCAAGATCTGAATCCTGAGACCGAACAATTTCACCGAAACATAACCAGTAAAAGTTCAAGCGTAATCATTGTATTAATTGGTAATACAACCCTAGACAACGAAGTCGAGCCTAAGTGTATACATTTGCATCATTGCATAAAATCAGATACTTTTTCACGAAATTTTTTACGACGCAATACATACAACAACCCACCCGTTCACCCATTCCCCCCCCCACTCACCAGCCGGCCGGCCTCGTTATTGTGCAAATTCATCTGGACGAGTTTCGCCAAAGACTGCCATCCTCCTCCTCCAAGCCTCCTGCGATCGTGTTCGCTCGCATCCACGAACCGCTTGGCAAATTGGTATCCGTATACGAGGGCGTCTCCATAGCCCAGGGTGTTGTACAGCAGCCTCATGGTTTGAGGAATCGCCAAGGGGCAGATGTCCCGCAGCGCCCCCTGGCCACAGGCGCGCGCCACCGCGTGGACAACTCCGGCGGCGGTTATGGCGGAGACGAAGGCGGCCTCGCGCGAGCCTGGAGCCCCCCCACCCCGACCCGACCAAAGAGCCCAATTAGCCCCGCCGACAAAACAATTTGATCAATTGTGTATATAATGGAGGGGTTTCTTTTCTCTAGTACACTGGTCAACACACTGTTTTCTGGCATGAGTTATTCCAACGGTGTTAAGGTAGTTTTGGGGTGCTGATTCCAATATCTGGCATCAGTTTTTGTCTATCACATCAGGTTTTTGAGATAGCAAATATTGCATTTTCAATAAAAACTGTGGAAGAAAAATATTAAATAAATGTGGATATCTACATAAAATGATAATATAAACACATTATCCTTAAAACACAGCACCATATTTTAACACTAAAGCAGTCATTGACTCGCAACAACTTGCAATCATAAGTGACAGAGTTAACAAGATACTAAACCTCACTAAATCGGCTGTGTCGGATGGTGGCGGGATAACACCACCACATTTATGTTGATGCCATCTAACACAAAAAACCTTGGTTTTAAACAAGCACCTTGTAAGTTTAACACGTGTGTTGAAGCGTGAAACCAAATTTTTTTTTTTATGTTGTGGTTTCACGCTTCAACACACCGGTGGGCTAAAGCAGTGAACTATTTGTCTTTTGTCACGTGACACTTTTTTGCTGATTGGCCGTGTCGGGTGGTGGAGGGTTACAACACATTTATAAATAATGTTGATTACGAATCACCTTGTGAGACACAAGACACAGCTCAATAGCTGGGGACTGTCTGGGCCAAACCTCGGCAGGGTGACCAACCCCCACTTGAAGGGTCTGCAGCAGCTCCTTGCCACTCCGCCTCACTGCCAGAAGTCGCAAACGGGTTTTGATTCCTTACCCGTACCCGGCCGCACCAGGGTCGCAAACGGGTACGGGTATCGGGTACCCGAATGCGACCTCTGGGATGAAGCCATGTTGCAGGCGCGGGTGGGTTGATTCTAGGAACTTGAATTGTGAGAAGAGACAAGACGTTGGGAAATGAGTGACAAACGGTGACTCACCAGTGACTCACGGCCTACCCGTACAGGCCGGGTATCAGGTAGGGTACGGGTATGGGGTAGGGTACGGGTGTTGGGTACCCGGTTGCGACGTCTGCTCACTGCTCATTTAGCGGCGGGTTTTGGCCGGCCATCGAATAGCCGGTGACCGCGTCGCGCTTCCAGGATGTTACATGCACATGACACTATACTGGCACGCACTACACACTACTATACTACTGTAGTGACATAGCATAGGTCGCTTGGGCACCTAGCGCCAGTTACTGATAGAAAGGGCAACTGGGAGTTGCAGTAGCCCTCTCTGCCAGTGAGGCATGCAGTGTCACAGAACGGGTCCCTAGGGGGCGTAGTGATGGTGGCTGGCAGATCTGTCCCAGAACCTTCTGGTAGCTTCCAGAAGGGGGCGTAGCCGAAGGCAGAGCCAGGGGCATAAAAGGGAGGTAGACCAGAGAACACCGCCGGATGGCGATCAGTGCGAAGACAATGCAAGCATCGGAGCCGCTCGTCGCAGCTCGGGGTCAAACAAAAGTTAGCGTCAAGGGGAAACTCCGACGCTCGCTCTGACCCGGGCGACGATCCCCTTACCTGACCGAGCTATGGGGTCGAGAGCATCTTCCGCGCCGGGCGTGGTGCAGTTCCACCGCTTGGCCCGGAACTGGTGCTGACATTCGGCGAGCGCCAGCCGGGCACCCTCGGCCACGTGCGGCACGTGGATCGGGTGCTGCCGGCATATTCTGCGTTGTTCGGGGGATAGCCCCGGCGCCATGATGCACAGCAGCTGATACTCGGAGGGGTCGAAGTTGGGAGCCCACAGTGCCAGCGACCTGCGGGCGGGGGGGGGGGGGAGTCACGGTGGCCATGGGATGTTGACTATCTCGCCTGGTATGCAGGAGGTAGTAGGTTCGATCCCGACCCTGATGCCTGTTGATGTATATTAGAAGTTTGCCTGTCTCTCTCTCTCTCATCGTCGTGGCGGCTAGTAGATGTTAACTACCTCGCCTGGTGTGCAGGAGGTAGTAGGTTTGATCCCAACCCTGATGCCTGTTGTTGTATATTCTAAGTTTGCGTCTCTCTCTCATCGTCGTGGTGGCTAGGAGATGTTAACTACCTCGCCTGGTATACAGGAGATCGTGGGTTTGATCCCAACCCCTTAAAATGCCTGTTGCTGCTGCTGTATGTTTGTAGTTTGTGTGTGTCTCCCCACGGTCGTGTGGATTTTTCTCCGGGTCCCTCTTGTTTTTCCCCTCCGTATTGAGAATCTGTGTCGTGTCGTCATTCAAACCCACCACCACCGGACACAGCCACCTAGTGAGGGTTGTCACGTAAACAGAACATGCCAATTCGTCACGAGTATAGCACTAGTGTGTCGTTTATAGTGTGGTGTATAGTTTAGTGTAGAGTAGTGTATAGTAGTGTAGTGTATAGTAGTGTAGTGTATAGTAGTGTAGTGTATAGTGTAGTGTATAGCAGAGGTGTGGACTCGAGTCATGTGACTTGGACTCGAGTCAGTGCATAATAATGACTTTGTCCCACCTCTGAGGTGTGGTGTATAGTGTAGTGTATAGTAGTGTATAGTGTAGTGTATAGTAGTGTATAGTGTAGTGTATAGTGTAGTGTATAGTAGTGTATAATGTAGTGTATAGTAGTGTATAGTAGTGTATAATGTAGTGTATAGTAGTGTATAGTGTAGTGTATAGTGTAGTGTATAGTAGTGTATAGTAGTGTATAGTGTAGTGTATAGTGTAGTGTATAGTGTAGTGTATAATGTAGTGTATAGTGTAGTATACTAGTACAGCACACCGGTGTGTTGGAGAGCCAAGCCACAATATTTATAATCCGAGTACCGCGACATTTCGCCAGTTAGTACAACTACAGCTAGCTTTGTCTGGCGACAGCCCTTACTAATTGACTGTGTCGGCGGGTTTTAACGACACGTTTGTACATTTCACGCGATCCAACCCCCCAAAAAAACTGGCTGACATTGGTCACGGAAGCGCTGCCGCTACGAGGCGTTAAACAAAACACAAACAAACGTATAATGTAGTGTATAGTGTAGTGTATAGTAGTGTATAGTGTAGTGTATAGTGTAGTGTAAAGTGTAGTGTATAGTAGTGTATAGTGTAGTGTATAGTAGTGTATAGTGTAGTGTAAAGTGTAGTGTATAGTAGTGTATAGTGTAGTGTATAGTAGTGTATAGTGTAGTGTATAGTGTAGTGTAAAGTGTAGTGTATAGTAGTGTATAGTGTAGTGTATAGTAGTGTAGTGTATAGTAGCAAAATATTAGGCAAGGTTGCTAAATAAACTTAGAAACGTGTGCGCTCATCGCAGCAGTGAGGAGGAAGACAGCGACGGTTCGCATTTACCACCAAGAGGCGCCCGCGACTGCCCACAGCTGTGCCAAGGTGCAGAGTCCCAGCAGCAGCGGGGAGCAGCTCGTGTGTCGGAGAGAACTCATCGCAATCGTGGCCAGCGGCGCTGTGCAGAAGAGAAGCAGACCGGTGGTGACGATGTCAACAACCTCCCCTGGTGCGCAAGAGGTTGTGGGTCCGATGCCGACCCTGACAATGCCTGCTGCCGTATATTTTGAGTTTGCGTATCTCTCATCATCATCTCGGCGGTGACGATGTTAACTCCCTAGCGTGGTACGCGGGATCGAACCCACGGGCGCTTGTATACCAGGCGAGGGAGTTAACCTCTCACCACCTTGATCATGATGAACTCCGACTGCTGTCACTGGTGATGTCTGTAGCCGACTGACCTTACAACAGAGGTCGCAAACGGGTTTTGATTCCTTACCCGTACCCGTGTTACACACACACACTGGTAATGTGTTACACACACACAACACTGGCAATGTGTTACACACACTGGTAATGTGTTACACACACACACTGGTAATGTGTTACACACACACAACACTGGCAATGTGTTACACACACACACTGGTAATGTGTTACACACACACACTGGTAATGTGTTACACACACACACCATTGGCAATGTGTTACACACACACACTGGTAATGTGTTACACACACACACACTGGCAATGTGTTACACACACACAACACTGGTAATGTGTTACACACACTAGTAATTGTGTTACACACACACACTGGCAATGTGTTATACACACACAGTGTTACATACACACACACAGCGTTATACACATACACACAGTGTTACACACACACACACAGTGTTACACACACACACTGGCAATGTGTTACATACACACAGTGTTACACACACACAGTGTTACACACACACACACTGGCAATGTGTTACATACACACAGTGTTACACACACACAGTGTTATACACACACACAGTGTTACACACACACTGGCAATGTGTTACATACACACAGTGTTACACACACACACAGTGTTACACACACACAGTGTTACACACACACACAGTGTTACACACGCACAGTGTTACACACATACACACAGTGTTACACACACACTGGCAATGTGTTACATACACGTGACGTAAGATCGCGTCCCCACGGCAGACAAGGCGACCTCTGGCTCGCGCCGCACCACGTGACGAGGCCCGCAGAGTGGAGGTCGCGTCACGCACAGAGCGGGGGGGGGGGGGTGACGACACGGAAGTGGTGACGGGGCCGGTAGGTGGGGGGAGAGGGTGGGGGCGAGTGGGCCAGGGGGGGGTGTGTGTGTGGGGTGTGTGTGTGTGTGAGTGTGTGGGGTGTGTTTGTGGCAGTGTGGTGTGTGTGTGTGAGTGTGTGGGGTGTGTTTGTGGCGGTGAGGTGTGTGTGTGTGTGGGGGGTGTGTGTGTGTGGGGTGTGTGTGTGGGGTGTGTGTGTGAGTGTGTGGGGTGTGTGTGTGTGTGGGGTGTGTGTGGGGTGTGTGTGTGGGGGTGTGTGTGTGGGGTGTGTGTGTGTGTGGGGGGTGTGTGTGTGTGGGTGTGTGTGTGGGGTGTGTGTGTGTGTGTGGGGTGTGTGTGTGTGTGTGGGGTGTGTGTGTGTGGGGTGTGTGTGTGTGTGGGGTGTGTGTGTGTGTGGGTGTGTGTTGTGGGTGTGGGGTGTGTGTGTGTGTGTGGGGTGTGTGTGTGTGGGTGTGTGTGTGTGGGGTGTGTGTGTGTGTGGGGTGTGTGTGTGTGTGGTGTGTGTGTGTGGGTGTTTGTGGGTGTGTGGGTGTGAGTGTGTGTGGGTGAGGGTGTGTGTGTGTGAGTGTGTGGGTGTGTGTGAGTGTGTGTGTGTGAGTGTGTGGGTGTGTGTGGGGCATGTGTGTGGGTGTGTGTGTGAGGGTGTGTGTGAGTGTGGGTGTGGTGGGTGTGTGTGTGTGCGGGGGTGGCTAGGAGATGTTGACTACCTCGCCTTGTACGCGGGAGGTCGTGGGTTCGATCCCGGACCCTGAGTCTGCGTCTCTCTCTCATCATCATCACGGTGGCTAGGAGATGTTGACTACCTCGCCTTGTACACGGGAGGTCGTGGATTCGATCTCCTGATCCTGACGAGTAAGATGGCAGCCCGTCCCCTGGCCAGACCCAACCCAGCAGCAGGTAACGCTGCTGCTGGGTTGGGTCTGGCGTGGGAGAGGAGAGAGACATGAGCATGTATCACTGGGTCTGTGTCCCCACATCTCCCCGTGTCTCCCTGCATCTACCAGAATCTCACTTGTATCTCCCCCCCCCACGCGTCTCCACCCACGCGTCTGCCAGCATCTCTCCCGTGTCTCTCCCCCCTCTCCCCACGGTGTCTCCCCCCATGCATCTCCCCCCCTCCCACGCGTCTCCCCCAATGCGTCTGCCAGCATCTCCCCATGTCTCCCCGTGTCCCCCCTGCGTCTGTCTCCCGCATGTCTCCACTGTATCTCCGTGTCTCCCCCGCATTTCCCCATATCTCCCCGTCTCTCTCCCCGTGTCTCCCTCCCCGTGTCTCCCCCGTCTCTCTCCCATGTCTCCCCCCCCCCCCGTGTCTCCCTCCCCGTGTCTCCCCGTCTCTCTCCCGTGTCTCCCTCCCGTGTCTCCCCCGTGTCTCTCCCCGTGTTTCCCCCCCCCCCGTGTCTCCCTCCCCGTGTCTCCCCCGTCTCTCTCCCCGTGTCCCCCCCCCGTGTCTCCTCCCCGTGTCTCCCCGTGTCTACCCCGTGTCTCTCCCCGTGTCTCCCCCCCCCCCGTGTCTCCCTCCCCGTGTCTCCTGTGGGGGCCGCTGGCCCCCGGGGTCCCTCCCGCCTGCATCCCCTATTCCGTTTAGGTTACCCCACCTCCCTATTACCCGCTACGGTTTCGCCGGCATTCGAACGCGACGCCCCTACTGTTACAGTCTCGCGCCGCGCTCCCACGCTGCGAGCATACACGCGCACAGCATCATCAATCAAACGCCACACTCCCCCTCTTTACACCGCTACGTACAGCTCTCGTATACTGCGAGCGTGTGCCCGCCTATAGCCCTGTGCTGCACGTTACCAATGCGCATCCGTATCCGACACGTAACGAACGTATGAGCACTCCCACACACACGCCGCTCCGCGCACTCCAACTCCACTCACGTTATGATCGCGCACCTGTATCGCACCCGGGGTGGACGCACGCACACACACGCAGCTCCCCACGCGACACTCTGCACGACAAGATCACGCGAGACCACGCTTCGCTATTAATGATTTATTATATGCTACCTGCGAATTGATGTCAAATCAGTGAGTCGACGAGGCTGGCCTACGCTGATACCTCTATACCTATTCCCGATTTATCTGCTATGATTCTAATTCACCTTCTTACTCACTGTTAAGTGTCCACGGCGGTCCGCTGATCCTTGTGCTAACCGCGTGCCTCGGTGCGTCACACGGACGTCCGGGTCGCTGGCTGAGCTGCGTCTGGTCGCCTGGCGCTGGAGTAAGAGAGCGATTTCCCCTCTGCGCTCCTCTATTTATCCTCCCTACCTCCAAAGGGGATGCTGCGCTGAACAATGGGCTCGTGCACCCCAAGCCCGCGCACGGCAGTCCCCAGGCGCTGTTGATATGCTAATCAGTGAGCGACGTTGGCGGCGTACATCCTAATTACTCCCTTACCCTTCCTAACAATGGGGCCTGCGCGCTCAAGCGCAATTATCCCAACCCCCATGACTATGCGCAACAGCCCCTGTGACCCCGCTATTCATGCTGTCCGTGCCTCCCCTGCTTGCCCCGTCGACTCGTGGGGGTGTGTGGGGGGAAATGCGCCTCAACCGCGGTGGCCGAATGCCCCACGCCGCGACCACACCATATTAAGGCCGGCAGCAGCGCCGCGGTACCACGTAGCACGGGGGAGGTCATCCAATTCCCTGATCGCCGGAAACCGTGAGAATTAATCCCGATAAGGGTCTCTCGGATAAAAACCGGTCGATCAGGTAACCTTCCCTTCCAGCTCTATGGGGGGGGGGGGATGCGTGCGGGTGTGTGCTTATGTGGGGCGGGTGATGGGGGGCAGTGCGGTGGGGGAAGCCGGGCGGCTCCCTGGCTCGGCAGAGCGGCCCCGTCGCTGTGGCACCACATAGCCCCCCGGGGTGCCAGTCCCCGTCCCGGGTTGACTTGAGCACCTCGCCTGGGTTGCCCCCACGAGGTATCGCCGCGGGGTCCGCGGGATTCGCCCGGCCCTTGTGGCTGGCCTCGGGGGTGGCGGCTCCGTCTCCTGGGGCTCCGGCGGTGGTCTCCTCCTCCATTCCAACGGCTCCCCTCGGCCTCTGGCACCTGCGGGCTGGGGAACAAACTCAGAAGCGGTGGGGTTTAAGGGTCGCCGTCCTCGTCGCCCCCGGCCCCGCCCGGGGCCCCTCGGAGCCCTGGGCTCCGTGGGGCCCATATACTGCGCGAGGCCCCCGGGCACGGGGGATGCGGGTACTCCGGGATTTCGGGGCCTTCGGGTGACGGGGTTCTCTCTCGCCGGGGCCGCTTTCCACGGTTTTAAGCGGCGGACATTGACCACCGTCTCTCGACCCCTCTCCCCGCCATCAATTAGTACCGTCCAGGGGGAGATCTGTCGCACCACGGTCCAGGGTCCCCGCCAGTAGGTCGTCAGTTTCCCCACCTGCCCGGCCCCGACGCGAGGGGTGTGTAGCCACACCTTAGCACCTGTCAGGAATAAGGGGGGTTCCATGCGGGGTCGGGTGCCCTGTTCCTGCCGCCGATGCGCGGCTTCCCCTTGCGGGTATGCTCGGCCTCGGGCTTCTCGTAGGGTCTCCAACAGGTGTTCCACGGGGCGGCTTCCCTCCTCCGGCTGGGGGGAAGGGACGCCGAATAGCAGATCTGCGGGTAAACGAGACTCACGGCCGAACATCATTAAAAACGGGGTTTGTCCCGTCGACGTGTGTACGGTGGTGGCGTAGGCGAAAAGGGCGTAGGGGAGGTGTTCATCCCAATCCCGTTGATTTGCGGCCGCCATACGTTTGAGTTTCCCCGATAAGGTCTGATTCATGCGCTCCACCATCCCGTTCGCCTGGGGGTGGTACGCTGTGGTTCGGTCCTTCTGGATTCCGAACTCTCGGCACAGTGCCTGGAACAACTCGGCCTCGAACTCGCTACCCTGGTCGGTGAGGACTCGTTCTGGGATCCCGTGCTTAAGTACGTAGTGTTCCACAAATGCCCGGGCCACCACCAAGGCCGTTTTATCAGGGATGGCCACTGCCACGGGGTAGCGGGTGAAATACTCTACTGCGACTAGGATATATCGGTTGCCTCGATGGGATCGCGGGAATGGCCCCTGTAGGTCGATCCCGACCAGCTGATTCGTGCGGCTGACGCGGAACGGCCTTAGGGGTACCTGGTATCGTGCCGGTTTCGGCCCGCACTGCTGACAGGCGCGGCAGCCCTGTACCCAGGCCGCCACGTCTTGTGCCAATTTGGGCCAGAGATACTGGCGACGCAGGGTCTCTCGAGTACGTCGTTCCCCATCGTGGCCCCCGAGTGGGTGGTCATGCACCAGCCGTAGCAGCTGGGGTCGCACCTGGGCAGGAACACAGATGCACCCCGGCTGGCCGGCCTCGGTTAACTCCCGTACCACTCCGTTCCGCACACACAACCGGGCATACAAACCGCTCCAGGGTCCTGGTAGGGCGCTCTTTTCCTCCCGCAGTGCCGCCTCCACTGCCGCCAGATCCGGATCTCGCTGCTGGGTCTGTCTCAGCTGCTCGTCGTTTAGGCCCGGGAAGGCGCAGCCGACGTCCTCCTGGATCCGTCCGATCGGGTCCCGAGCCGCGGGTCCCGCGCTTGCCGGGCGGTCGACGGGATCCTCAGTGCCACCTGTGAGGGTTTCCGTGGCGCACACTGCACTCTCTCTCGCTGGGGGGGGTCAGTGGCCGCGGCCTCTCGGGGGTCCGTTGCCTGCCGGCAGCGTCCCCCCGTGAAACACGGGCAGGCCTCCTCCGCCCTCGTCTCGGCGTACACCGTGGGTCGCCTCGACAAGGCGTCCGCGTTTGCATGCGTCCGGCCAGCCCGATACTCGATTTGCAGGTTGTACTCCTGCAACTGCGCCAACCACCGGGCCATCTGCCCCCGCGGCTCCTTGAATGTAAGAAGAAACTGCAGAGCATAATGGTCAGTGCGTACGCGACATCTCCTGCCGTACAAATACGGCCGGAACTGTTTGCATGCGAAAATCACGGCGTACAACTCTTGGCGGGTCACGCAATAGTTCAGCTCGGCCCCACTCAAGGTCCGGCTGGCGTACGCGATGACTCGTTCCGTCCCATCCTGTACCTGTGACAACACCGCGCCCAGCCCGCTGCTGCAGGCGTCGGTGTCCAAAATAAAATCGGTGGTAAAATCGGGGAAAGCGAGGGTGGGGGCGTGGGTGAGGTGGTCTTTGAGAGTGGTGAAGGCCGTCTGGCAGGCCCCCGTCCACTGATAGGGGTGCTTAGGGGAGGTGAGTTGGGTGAGGGGGCGTGCAATCTCGCTGAATCCCTTTACAAATCGACGATAATAGGTGGCGAGCCCCAAAAATGATCTGATCTCCGTCAGATTCCTTGGCCGTGGCCACTCCACTACGGCGCGTACCTTCTCCGGATCGGTGCGCACGCCTGCCTCGCTGACGCGATGCCCGAGGTACCCCACCTCGCGTTGTGCGATGTAACACTTACGTGGCTTGAGCTTGAGATGAGCCGCTCGCAGTCGCTGGAACACCTCTCGAAGCCTGGACCAATGCTCAGACAAAGATCTACTGAACACTATCACATCGTCCAAGTAAATCAGGCACTGTTCCCATTGCAAACCCCGCATCACCAACTCCATCAGCCGCTGGAACGTCGCGGGCGCATTGGTGAGTCCGAACGGGAGTACTCGAAACTCGAATAGTCCCATCGGGGTGGTGAATGCTGTTTTCGGCCGATCCTCCTCCGCCATCTCCACCTGCCAGTACCCGGACGCGAGATCGAGGGTGGAAAAATATCGCGCTCCGGCGAGGCTGTCAAAGGTGTCGTCGATGCGGGGTATGGGGAAGGCGTCGCCGAGCGTGACTGCGTTCAGTTTACGGTAATCGACGCAGAACCGGGTTGACCCATCCTTTTTCGTTACTAGTACCACCGGGGCTGACCAGGGGCTCGCCGAGGGCTGAATTATGTTATCGCGAAGCATGTCCCCAACCGCCTCTTTGATCTGGGTGCGTTCGGGTGCGCCCACTCGGTACGCAGGGAGTTTGATGGGTCGGGCTGCACCGGTGTCAATTTGGTGCTTAACAAGGTCGGTCCGACCCACGTCCGAGTCGTGTTCGCTGAACACGTCGGCATACTCCCGCAGTAACTCGCGCAGCCGATCGGCCTCTCCCTTAGGTAAATCCGCCCATGGTACATGTAACGCGTCGAGCAGGGGAACGACCTCGGCTCGGGGAGTCGGGCCGACTCGCCAGGCCAGGTCCTGCTCACCCTCAGGACGACCGGGGTCCTCAGCCCAGAGTGCGAACACCGAGTCGTTAGAGTGGCGTGCGTGCAGGGGGTGTACTGTGGCTATCGGGGTGCGCCGTCGCAGTATCGCTGGGGTATTGTGGGGGTTAAACATCCGCATAAACAATCGGTCCCCATCTGCGTTTACCAACGTGGCGGATCCCACAACCCCATACCGTTTTGCCAACTCCGGGTGAGGAGTTAGCATTACCTCCCCTGATGGTCGGAGCGCGGGGTCGGTGGGGGATGTTGCCACCGGCACCAGCATCTCGGTGAGCGGGCCGATGGTGACTGCCGTCGCCAGGATAGCGGCCACAGGTGCAAAGCGGAGGCGCGTTGGTTCTCGTCCCAGGAACGGTATCCGCTCGCCGTTGCTCTCCATGGTGGCGCATCGCTGGCGGGGTTGCACGTTGAGTCCCAACCGTTCTAGGAGGTCGGTGCCTGCGATACACTCGTGACACAACGCACTCGACACGTAGAACTCCTGCGTGCACACCTGGCTGCCTATGCGGACCTCTAGGGTGGCTCTCCCCAGCAGCCCCATTCCGGCTCCGCTCGCCGTGTGCAGC